TATTGATATCCTGTGGAGTGTTATTGCCGGCTTACAATATTATACCTAAATTACTAACAGAAGTATATACCTGCCTTCCGATCGAAATTGGGAGAATTGCTTAAATTATCATTTTATAAGAAAGGTAAATGTTGGTGAGTACAGCGCTCAAGTGCCATAGAGAGTATTGACAGTTCAAACAAACAAAGCCAAAAACTGAGTGAATTCAAATGTAAGTTAAGGACCCGCAGCGTCTCGCGAAGTAGTCCCCTCAAGATCCACGCGAAAGCCTTAAAATAATTCACATTAATTGTTGTTATTTAATATAGCAAGTCGTATGACTCCAGAGAAACGCCACACACCTAGCTTACGAGACCAAGAACGTCCATATAAGAAATCTTACTGTAGTTCGAATGGACATATTTACACTAACTTCTGATAGTTTGAATTGAGCGCGCTCTGTGTAATGACTAAATCAAAAAAGTAAAAAAAAAAAAACAATCGCACTGCTGGTAATTTGATCAATTGAAAATTGACCGGTAACTACTGAGGCACGAAAATATAACCTCAAAAAGATTTTCGTCCGCTTTATGAATTATTTACACCCGTAAAATGGAGAGAATAATGGATTTTTACTTACCTAAACTTTTCTTGTCTACATATACGTGGTTAAATTAAATAGGAATGGATCAAACGTAACGATACGCTCTTGACTGCGAGCGAATCGATATCGATATTTTCAGCGCGTGTAACGCAACAATAACATAGCCGCATCGATTTCTGGTCAAACCTGTAGAAACCGTAAAATTTAACTAGTTGCCACTGAGGCACGAAAATAAAACCTCAAAAAGATTTTCGTCCGCTTTATGAATTAAATAAACCCATGAAATGAAGAGAATAATGGATTGTTACCTACCTAAACTTTTCATGGATACATATACTTGGCTAAATTAAATAGAAATGGAAGGAACGTAAAGATATATTCTTGACTGCGAGCGAATCGATACCGATATTTTCAGCGCGTGTAACGCAACAATAACAAAGCCGCATCGTTTTCTTGGCCAAACCTGTTACTGAGAAACTGCTATTGAAAGGTGTGACCAACTGATGTGCGACGTTTTCGCCTTTTATATGCTGTTTATGCTTTTTTTAAAAGATTCAGAACACCGTGCAAAACTTTTAAGGGATTGTTACTTACCTAAACGATTACAACTTAAGTCATAAGAGCCTAAAATGTATTAAATGGATAAAATTGGATGAACCGTAAAAAATGTTGATTGAAGGCAGGCGGTGAATTTCCGGTGCACGTGTAATACAGGAACAATAAAAGTCATTCGAAACAAAGAAAAAAAACTTCAAATCGCAAATTCGCCGTGTCAGCAACAGTAACGACAACAAAAGTTCCAAAAATCGATTTCCTTTATTTTCATTTTTATAGAGAATACTCATCGAAATTTAGCACGATTACTAGAGGTTTTTTTATTTCCCATTCAAAGGTCACTTTGTTTGCGTTGGGGTCCTTAGGTAGCGACATCTGTCAATACGTCATCCAATTAGTTAACACGCAATGGGATTGTTTAAAACACCTGATCATGTAAAATTTAAAGGTTTTTTTTAAAAATGTTTTTCATTTTTATTTTCCCGTCCACATGTTTAACATCAAAGAGGGCAAAGAAAACCAAAAATCAAGAAAGCCACCAACGACGGTTTTTGCGTATCGTGGGAGAAAACATTTCCGATGTCAATTGGCCGCGCTCGGAAATAAACCAGATCAAAAACAAACCAATTTGTAGATACATCTATAAACAGGTAATCTTCCTCAGTACTTGTGCTGTTAAACACGTTCGTTGTTTCTACAGCACAGTAACTTTTTGTTCGACCGAAAGTTCTTTGACTTCGGATTAGAACACGATCCGGTTTCTTTGGGTCGTTGCTTTTTACACACGTCATTACCAACGTAATCGAAGCACCTGTTATTTGCTCCCCAGCCGCAGTGAATTATGGGATACGGTATGATCCATATGCTTATTGGCCTCCAAACCTGTGACAAAATAAGGTAATTTGGTATTATCAACTGAATTGATAACGTAAATTGGCTACCATTGAGAGTTTCAAAGCTGATATTTCGAGTGTTAGTCCTTCGTCAGAATGAATTCGTTCTGTATCTGTGGAGAGTCCCCCCGGCCTAGAATGTGGAAAAGATGACGACCGACGAAAGCTCCTACGGCCATATATGTGTATAACGTGGAAACCTGTTTTTCGGATATTTGAAGTTCTTGTAAACAGTGTTTTGCCTGAAGAACAATAACATGAATTTATGTATTTATTTATTTATTTGCGACATCTAGACAGGTCGTCTCAGGTCAGCAAGCGCTTTAAAGCTGGGAGCTACGTTCCCTTCTCGATCGAGGCGTATGGGTTCTTTAACTTCCCCTGCCAACTTGTACAGAGAAGAGACAGGAGACGGCGCCTACGGCTCATCGTCCTTATCCGAGAAAACTAGAAGGTCTAGCCTTCAGAACGGTCACATTATTATGTTGAAGGGCAATCTGAACTTTGTTCCAGAAAACTTGTTGTGATGTTTAAATCAGTTAAAAATTGCACATAAGTGTTGCTATTGAAAAAACGACCTGAAAACCTTCTTTCAACTTTAAGGTGATTAGAATTTCCACCACGATACAAAGAAATTTGCATTTTGCCTAGACAACTGTTCTTTCTGTGTAGTCATTATTTGTATTATCAGCTGTTAATTGTAGCGGAAGGTCTGTTTGGTTTTCTTCTTAGAAAGAACGTTATATTTCTTCAGTTCATTTTTTCTTGTGGCATGCAAGATTTGTCTCACGGCGCTTATTGCGTAACAATTCGAGAAGCCTGACCTAACGGATGAGTTCTTATTTTCCTTGTCCGCAATGATGTCGATATGCTCCACTGATTACTACGGCAGCCATAATGAAAGGAAGTTCGCGGATTTCACGGAGAAATAATTCTCATCCTCTACGAGTAAGAGACTCTACAATCTTGCTCAGTAAGAAAAAACTGATCATGTTCACGCTGGCCCATGCCAGCCATTTTGAAATGAATCAATGTCAAGAAGGAAAAGTTTCTAAAGAAACTGTGGAGCTGCGTTGGTGGGAGAGTATATTATAGCAGGTAATTTAGTGTTAACAACTGAGTTGAAACCGTCAGAGCGCTGGACGAGGGGCTAACGCTCAAAACGTCAGCCTTTTAACTCGTTAAGATGGCCAATTTACGTTTTCAACTCAGTTGTTAACACTAAATTTCCTGCTAATGTCAAGAATCCTTCTTTTACGACCACTGCACACCACATTTGCACCGTTGCAGATAAGACATCAAAAAAGGTATGAAAGCGATATTCGCAGTAATAAATCAGGAAGGTGTCATAATCTCGGACCTGGGCGAATCCCCTGGGGGAATTTTCGCGGCAACAGCTCATTTTGGGGCTCGTTTTTCATGTTATTTCCATATTTTGTTTACATCGCGCACTTTACCAAATTCACAGGTGGAAGCTCTTTGCTTAAGGAAAGATTATTGCTCATAGAAAAATCAAAAGCGGAAGAAAGTCCTCTGTAAAAAAAAAAAACAAACAAAAACAGGCCCATAGAAGAAAGAAAGAGTACTATTTTGTCAAGAAAAGAAAAAAAAGTCCTTTGTGAAAGCTACTAGTACTGGCGGAGCCTCACGCTGGCGTCCAGATTTCGAACAAAGAAGTCGCCATCAACCAAAATTTGCCATACATATGATAAAAACGAGGTTTCCTTTTCTTTATACAAGTACCAGCCTTAATACAAAAAACATTACCGATCGCCTCGAATGGTAATTTTGAAAGATGTCTGTCTATTTGTTGTCTTGCTCCTCAGCACATTTTGCGGTTTTTCCATTTTTTCCGCGGGTTTTGCCTTTGCCTTTGGCAACTTTGCTCATTATTGTGTCGGCCTCCTTAACGTTCCTATGAGCAATCGAGATAAAAAAACGTTTCTGCAACGGGTTTCTTTTCCCGGGAAATCTTGATCCATCGTCATTGTTGCCAGGAGGTCCCGTTGTCCTATTGGTTTGCGGTTTCAGGAGGTGCGATAATCTCCTGGCGTGGCGCGAGTTGTTTGCAAACCTTTATGAGCTAAAATCTCGCATTTGATTTTGAGAGGAATACAACCACTTTGAGCGAATTTATAGGGTATATCGATTTGACCGATTTTCGTCAAATTTCGCCACAACATTTCAGAAATAATGACAAACAAAAGTGTGTCGGGAAATTTTGATATTTGAAATATTTGTCCCGTGATGTCCATTTACGCAACGAGCCTCGCATATTTTTAGCTACTCCAACTATAGATGCCGATATCTAGAAAACCAATCAGAACATCGAAAAAGCTTGATACACTTTTGTTGATTGATGCCTTGTGAATAAGACTGTGCAGCCATTTTGCTCGTGCTGCGGCATCCGATACCCGATAAATTCAATAGAAGAATCTGCGGTCGTTTCACGCCTTACCGGCTCTGACACTTCCCTAAAAAAAAAGTCGTTTAAATTATTATTTTTATCGTAATCTGCAGTTCTTTCTTTACATGACTCGTTTTTAGGTTTTAGAGCAGATCACTACGCCTGATAAACTAAGGAGGCAGTTTGAGTGCAGGAAAGGTGCAAGCTCAGTTGATGTTTCAACAGGGTCCATGTGTCCTTAACATGTATCAACGCGATATTCTGTCACGGCATCATAAAATAAGTGTCCATTAATACGGAACACGGTCTCCAGCAAATCAGCTTTACAGTCTGGTCAAGACGCATAGGCTAAGTTAGGAGCTGAATGCGTAATTCCTTCTCTCGAAAAGGTGCCACCATAAAGACAAACGAGAACAAAGAAGACAAAGCTTGCATTCCTGAGAAATGCTTCATTAAAAATCGCATGAAAATGTACCATTTTAAGAAAACTGTTGTTAACGTTGATAACGCAAATCTTCTATTTGACGACCATAGAAACTCTGGAATCTTTTATATACATATATTTTGTATTTTATTCTTTTTTCCAGCGGCATAGAATAAATTAAAAAAAAACTACACAATATCACATTAAGAAGAAATTTGAACAAAACAGTCCGGGAAAGTACAAATCACAGGTTATTGCAAATCCCTAAAAAGTGTAGCAGATTGAAACGTACTAAGAGTAATAAATAAAAATAACTCTTGCTTTAATTAAAAATATTTTTTTACGTTTACCTTATTTAATTAGCCGGTTATGACTTAATAGCGTAACAGGGATTTTTTTAAGGCTGTCTTAACATTTCTGCTTTAGCTCTAAGAAATTTTTCCACATACATAAAGCGACTGCTACTGTCTTTTCCTATAACGATCGTTTTTCATTTTTGCGTGATCTAATATACTCTGCAATGAAACCTTTCCTGTTGTTTGTCAAGTCCGTTTCAAATTTTATCCACATTCGATTTCCGGTTGATACGAACTCGTGCGAAGATTGAGTCGACGTCTGACCGCAAGCTCGTCCCAGTAGTGGCGCGGTGTTGTTAGTTCCGTCGCGGATGATGACGTAATCGTATCCACAGAGCTTCTCGTTTTCAACGTCAAACTGCTTGAATCGCAAACGAATAATATATCCAGGCCGAGTAGTCAGCCGCCATGAACACCGGAGGTTTGATTTGTAATTGTCGCTGCCATAACTTGGATGAGAGAAGAACTGACGTTTGTTATTTGATACGTGAAGATTTGCACTGCACACTACAAAGAAAAAAAGAACAATATGAAAACAAAAGAAAAGAAATAAGAAGCAGAACGAGTTTTTTAAAATTGATGAGATTATCCTCCTAATTATGGAAATGAAAAGAAAGCAAAGCATTTTTGTAGATACCTAAATCGCTCTATGAACTTGGATATATTGGTTGAATGTTCCGTAAGGCTGTCTATGTTAAGGAGAAAATATATAAAGATGGCAAAGTAGGGCCGGGGAACTAAAAGCGAGCTAAACGGCCGTAGACCAGCCTTGAAAACTGACAGGGTGAAAATGAAAAAACGATAAAGCAAAGTAAATTTGTTTCTATTCAAAGCTAGTTCAGATTTTCGGGTCAAGAAAGTGACCGTTCATCTGTTTCAAATCTTAATGTTTCCCCTTTCGGGGAACAGAGATATTTCGAAATATTTTACGAAGGCTCACTGTGCGAACTTGGACTACTTGAAGGGGAAAACGAAGAACTCGGTAAGAGAGCCCTAAGAGAAAGGATGAGACGAAACAGCGAACTTAACCCACGTATATAAATTCAGGTTATAGGAAATAAAACCCAGGCCCCACGAAAGAATTACTGCCGAAGAATTTAAATACAACGACTGACCTGCGGTATACTGTGCTCTGAACCCTGTGTGGCTGATCAATTTATCCGAGTGAAATTTCACCAACATTTTATGAGCTCTGGAAAAATGAATATCTGCAGGAATTCTCCTTCCGCAATATCGGCCCAGGCTCACGGCTTGTTGGCCAGTGCCCGAGAACACTTCTACGTAGTCAAGAGAGCAGTTCTCATGATATTCAATGTCGATTTCCTAGTAAAGTAAGTCGAAGATGCGTTTATTAGGTAAATCATACAGTTTAGAGGAGACTGGTAATGAAAGGCTTAAACTACGGTGCGGCGGTTTAGTTCGGTTGCGTCTTACTTTTTTTTTTTTTCGTCATATGGTGATTGAGTGAATTTATGTTATCAAAGGATAAATTAATTACTTCATCAAGGAAACAGGCAACAGCAAAGTGAAAAAAACTTTAGTCTTAAAAACGCTAAGGGCTGGCTATTCAATTGAAGTCAAACTTTGGCGCCGATATTAGACCATCAACTGAATTCGATATTTCTTTATGGGCTGGTTGTTTAAGTGAAGTAAAAAATATCTTTCCAGTGCAAGCTGTAAGTCCTCTCAACAATAAAAAATCAATAAAAGAATAATTACTACAAAGGCACTCTCAAATAGCAAAATATAAGCGAACACATAAAAACCTCGACAGGAACAAAAATATGCTTGATTTAAACGATTACTGAAATGCAAGATTGTTTACGAGGCGGTTTCGGTAAACAACAAGAAAAGTAAGTAATTGGTTCTACCGTAAACATTTATTTTGCGGTAGAATCCAAAGCCATATGCATTTTAGCATTCACTCTTAAACAATAAATATACTATACGTTGAAGGTAAGCTGTATGTGACTTCCTGGTGGGACAACAATTTTCCACGTACAATCTCTGTTTGATTGGTAAGATCCTGGGTAATTCGGAGATGTTATTTCACCAGATAAGGTTGTCAGAGCACCACCACAGCCATTTACTTTAAGAAAAATCAAATCAATTTATTAAGTTAAGAAAAATTTTCAAGAAATGTGTTACTCCTTTCGTTACAAGCATCGGACAAAGAAAAACGTGAGTTATGGCCATTTATGCGCCAATCAGTTCAAAATCAAGATCAAGTCTCAACCTCCCCCCCCATCTTTGACCGTCGTGCGTGCCCGGGGGAGGGGGGGGGGGTGGGATTTGAACCTGACCTGGCTGGAGTGGGAAATCTGAACCGGTAATGTCAAGTCTTTCCAACGGAATACAAGTGTTATGTATTTCAATATGGAAGCGTTTAGGTATTTGTACACAAATTTTGGTCCCGGAGAGAAAATCGAACATACCAATCTTCAGATTGAAACCTTGAAACTAAAATTTCGCTCTCCGCTGCTCCCCTAATGACGACCTTCAAAGAACTCAGAGGTAGAGTAGGCCACTACTGAGTTCATTTGTGACAAGTGTGTTAGGATCAGCGATGTAGAGATGTCATAAAGTAAGAAGAATAAAAAGATAGGTAATTGTGATCGTAGAAAAAAAGAGAAGTTTGATTCGTTTAGCCTCCAGTAAGGGACCAAGAAGTAAAGCTGAGTTTTCCATTAGCGCTCTGACCCCAGGCCTTCGGGATGCGCGGTCCGATGCTTTTCTACTGAGCTACGGCAAGGGGAGTCCAATAGCATTATAGGTTACATACTAGATTCATATGCTGAAAACAATATTTGTAACTTTCAATTTAGCGATATAGATGAAATGATATTTCTAAAAAAACCTCGTTTTATTTAGCTATAAAAGACGCTTGAGTTCCGACAAGCCACCCAGCCTAAATGATTCTCACTTTACTAATAGGAATGGAAAAGTCAGGGATAGGTCTCAAACAGTTATCACCTTCTTTACAGCTATGCTTGTCCTTCTGAAGAACAAACCCTTCTCTGCAGGAACAGATGTAACTGCCAGCTGTGTTCATACATTTATCCTGGCATCCACCGTTGTTATTTTGACATTCGTCTTTATCTTAAAGGGAAAAAAGGAAAACTCTGATACTTCTTTTTGAAAAAAAAGTGTTAATCTTAAGGATTCACATGGGATTCAGCAGAGGGGACTGCAATAGGCCATGCTGGATCGAGTAATGTACTTCAGATTCGCCGAGTGTCCATGACGAACAAAAACAACTGAAGAACATAGAGTAACACGAATTTTAAGGCAATCTTCCGAGCTGAGTGAAAAATGAGTGATTCAATTCGTTCCCATATAAAGCCTCCAAGTAAATTGGAACAACTACCTCTCGATTGTTCAAGAGCGTATAAGGTCCTTATACTGATCTTCATTCTGCCTCAGTTACCTGCATAATACACAGCAGAGAATCCAGCCCGAGATTGAGACTGATCTGACTCGAACTCCACCCACATGAGGTTTGAAGAGCTGGTCACTGTTTGAGGAATCTTTCCACCACAAAACGTTCCAAGAACCTGATCGTTCTTATCTTTTACTTTGACGTAATCGTACTGGCAAACCTGAATAATTAAGCAGTGAGGCATAAAGCTTTGCTATATGGCAAAAATCGAAAAGTTAAAACATGGCAATAAGAGGAGGAAAAACACTCGCCTCTTATTCCGATAGTGTTCTACAAATTTCGGTGTGATGGAAACACTTACAGAGTCTTACGATACATTCACCTTTGAATTTCCTATAACGAAGTTTATTGGACTGTGTATATCTTTTGTACAGGTCATGGTTCAAGCCCAGAAGTAAAGTATAGTCAAATATTCAGGGTAGGATTGTCGTAGATGACAAGAACTAAAACATATAAGATTCTAGAGCCATTTTGACCACGCTGGAGAGTGCAATTTGAATTCAAAGTTAATTTTATCACACTATTTAGAAAATACAAATATCCTGGGGTATTCCTATACTGTTAATAAGCATCATACGTTTCTCGGTTGTTGATTCCAGACGAAATTTAAAATTTTTTTCTGAAAAACTATACAAACTTACTCCATTTCCAGTTCCCTCCAATTGAAACTTGTCAAACTTCAGTGATATCTTTTGTCCTTCGGGTCCCATGATTTTCCAAAGGCAGCGTTTATTGTTGGGATAGTTACCGGGGTAGCTTGGTGACGTTATGTTTCCGTTAGGAGCCCTTAGTGTTCCTCCACAGGCACCTGTGTAAATCGTCATTTAGAATTAGAGACGTCAACGCACTCAAAAACACACGCAGTGTTTGTGAGTGTGATGAATTGAAGAAGAATTACTTAGCCCTTCTACTGAAATTTACCCGGACTCGTTATTCGCTATGCCAGTGAAATGGCAACAGATCTTACTCCAGCTCACATCCCTCTCGAAAAATCCCATTCTATCGTCGCACGGGACTGGACATTGGTCAAGAGTCGTCGTTAGGTAGTTATAACCGTGGAATATTCAGAGACATATGCAGCAGCAAAAGAGTCATTCGTGCCCCGGTAAAAGAATGCAAGCATTAATTTTGAATTCAAATCTTCAAGACCATATGAATGCTTGAGCCAAATTAACGTATGGGCGTTTCTAACAAAAATTGTGATACCAACAGCGTTCTTTTCTATTCCCTGCTCCTTGCAATATTGTTTGCTCCCCCTACCTTCGCAATCTTTGTTATTCGACCTCAGCTCGTAACCAGGGTCACATGAACAACGGTGGCCACCAATGGTATCCACACAGATTTGTTGGCATCCGCCATTGTTGATTTTACACTCGTTCGTCTCTGAAAAATAACATATTACATCATAATCATCGTAATACTGGCTCTAAGATCCTCCAGTATGACTCACATTCCTTGTTCAGCTCCAGCGGGCAAGATGAACCAATCTTTAATGGAATGGTGACGAATTATATCACGACTCATTAGAGTGCAGAGTTAAATTTCCGAACCTAGCCTCATATGAGGGTTAAGTTTAATGCTTTTTTATTCGTTCTTTCTCTCTGTGTTTTCTTAGAGTAATCTTTCGGCCGACATAACTATTAAGCCATTTTCTACTCTCAGAATTTTCAAAAAGCGCATTTTAAAAAACCCCTTCCTTCCCACAATGTCTAATAACTGTAACAACCAGTTTCCATTCAGCTCCCATAACTAAAACTTAAACATCAGATTGTCAGATACTCCTGTATCTAAAGTAGTCGCAGCCTCCGGTATCATTCGGCATAACCGATCAAAAACGTTCCAGATCGCGCTCTTATGGCAACCACATCAAAAAACAAACAATAGATTACCTGAGAAAAAGTTCAAGTAGAAGCCAGGTTTATTTACGGTTCCATCTGAAGAGAACTGAATTGTCACCTGACTGGAATTGCTCCTCAGCTCCTGAGGAATTTTTTTCCCACAGTATCGTCCTAGTAAGGACGAGGAGTCCTCAGGTCCGTCTTTTATTTGAAGATAATCATACAGACACTCGCTATGGCCCTCGATATCAAAAGCAATAAAGCGAATTCCAACCCTAAAATGCTGAGAAATAATTATTCACAAAAGCTCTTGTTAAGTTATATGATCAAGAATCAGGCCCATAAACTTGTATGTGAAACAATGGAGGAGTTCGTAAAAGCATATATGCATAGCTGATCCCAACAGTATGTGGGATACGTGTCTCATATGACCCTGGTAACGACTGAGCTCTCCATATGGAGTCCCTGTGGCGCAGTGGTAGAGCGATAGGGAGAGGAATCCGAAGGTTACAGGTTCAATTCCACATGGAAGATCAGAATTTTTTATCTGAACCCCTCTCTAGACAAGCTACGTTGTAGCTCACTTCCCCCAAGAAGCTAATTTGAAGACATTAAGTTGTTAAGGCATGTTTTAAACAGCTGTAGGGTATAAAAATGGACAGTTTTTCCGTTCGGCAGAAATAATGGATGACTGTCAGTATCTGAGCATCTGTGCACTTACATTGTGTACCCCCTCCCCTAACCCAGTAACAGTCAACAGATAACAAGGTAGGGGAGGGGTAGGCGTGCAGTTGTTCAGATACTAACATTGACCTGCAGCGATCATACTGCTCGTCATTCCTTGTTATTCAAACGCAGGTAAATCATCACAAACTTACAAAACACAGACACCCCTGCAATAATGGTAAACATTTATAATCATGGTATCTGAACGTGTTACGAACCGCTGGCAAAGTAATTTTCCAAGTACACTTTTTGTTGTATGGATACCACTGCGGATACTTCGGTGACTGAATGGTTCCTTGAAGAGAAGTTATGTCACCACCACATACCGCTGCAAATAATGATGCAAATCATGCCTTAAAATAATAAATCCTACAAAAAACAGGTCTTTGTCTTATCGAGTCCTTTTCCTCCATCTTACCGCAAATACAAAATTTCTTCCCTTATTCTCTTCTTTTTCTTTTTTATTCCCTTTCGTAAGTCATTCCTATCTTTAAGTCATTCCTATCGTAAGTCATTCCTTTTTCTCCAGTCTGATTGCGCCCTTACTCTCACAGCGGTGCTCTTGCTACCGTAAGGTATACTCAGTAACACAGGATCCGTAATTACTTTTACACGCGGGCGCTAAGTGGCGACTGGTTTCTTCAGGTTTCTTCAATTACCACACCAATTTTTTCTTACCTTTGTAACTTGCCTTGAATCCTTGCTTTCCTACAACTTCAGACGACTGATACTTTATCCACAATCTATTCCCTGTAGACCATATTAAAGGTGGCACTCTCTTCCCACAATATCGACCAATCACAGGCGAAGACTTGGAATGACCGTCCCGAACCTCCACGTACTCGTCCCTGCATTTTCCTGAGCTTCTTCTGAGACTAAAGACGGTAAAATTAAGAGAGACTCGCTCCCCCGGCGTCACAGCAATGCGCCACACACATAACTTGTACTTCTGACTCTTGGGGAATCCAGGAGACGAAAACGTATCAGCGCGCCCATGTAGTGCTCTTCCACATTCTAATTGAATAATAGCAATGTACATTTTAAAGACAAATCCATATAACCGTGTAAGAAGTTTCTCAGTAGTCAAATTGAGTTACTTTATGCTCAAAAACAACTTGTCGCAGGTCTCGCGGCGTTACCTACGAACGGTAAGCCTCAAAAGAAGGAAGAAAGCGTGCCGTCATGATCTTAAGCTTGTTTAAGAAAATACCTTCCTTTCGCTCTCCTGGTAAAAACTGTGTTTATTTTGGTATAACGACCTCAGGGAGCCACTTCTGACATAGAGCGCACTAAGGTTGAGTGTCGTAAAATCAAAACTAAAGTAGACCCAGAGAACTTAGAGTAATTACGAGCCACCAAGAGTGCCTACTGCGAAGGAAAGAGCCGATAAGAGCGGAAACATATTAATAGAATCCAATTAGAACTTAAAGTAATAACGAGCGACCTAGAATGCGCACTGCGAAGGAAAATCGAGTTTCCGTCTATTTCCAGCGGGTGTCAGATCTTACATTGGAAATATATTTCTGTCAACTTCATGCAACGACTGTCTAAAAATGGACGTCATATTCCAGCAGGACTACACTGATTGAGATTAATGAGAAGCTTGTGATACACGTTCATGTAATCTACCAACCTGGACAGCGGTACATTTTTTCAGTTTGTCTGATATCTCCAATACTGAGCTTTTCCCTTTGTCCAATTTCAGGGGTAAGATCCGTTTGTGAATTCTTTTTGGGCAAAATTGTTACTTGATGGCCTTCCTTCGCAAACGTGTATTTCCCGTAGTGCATGATGGATGCATAATCATAAGGCTCGTTCAAAGAATTTATTTCTGCGGAACTGAGTTTTAGAAAGTTATGTTCTTCACCTAAAAACAAAAAACAACAACAACAAAAATTGGTAAAAGGAAGAAAGGCAAACAAAGAAATTAAGAATCGTAAGTAAGAGAACGCAATGTAACAAAAACCATCACGAAAAACTCAACTGCTATTATTAATAGGTCTATTTTTGGAAATTCGCCGTTGTAACATCAAAACCAAAGTGATTAAAGCCATGACAACGATCGATCAAATCTTATAAAAATTTGCAAGGAAAGAAAGCAATGATGACACGCATATAAAAAGCCCTAGTAAAAAGGCGGAAAAGGCGAGTGATAAAGTCGCGATTGGTGTCAGTTTGCATGTGAATAGTGAAGAGATCGGAAGCTGTCCAAGGGGCGGATAACGCTATTCAATGGGTAAATCGCTATCCAGTGGATAATTGTTAATAAAACTTACTGCGCTATCTTCTGAATAGAAATTTATGGAGTGGATAGCGTTATCCACACTTTGAACTAAAGGAGTTTGAGGCTCAATAATTGCTCCGATGTCATTACATACCCGCGCCTCTTAATGAGAGTCTTAATGGGGGGATGGCTTTTACGGCTGACGGTTAAAACTATGGCCAATTTACGGCTAACAGTTAGTATCTTTCCATAGTAGTCACCAGAAATTTTGTTACTGTTTTGTTACCTCTTTTTTACGACTAACGGTTGAATTTTTTGGCGGTTTACGGCTAACGGTTAAACCCACTGAGACCCTTCTTAATGTGTACAAATCTTCGCAGCCCAATGGGTAAACACGTCTATGGATTTCAATGTACTACTAACCTTTCTTTATATTCTCCCTGAAAATGTTAACAAAGTCAGCCCGATCAGGCCGCGTATGCTCGTGCCAGAACCCCACTGTGTGTCCAATCTCGTGCACCACTATGCCAAACTTGTCGCAATTCTTGCCAATAGAAATCCCTTGGCGCCCATTTCCCTTGCGTCCAACATACGAGCAGCAGCTGAGAAAAAAAAATGTTATTAGAAGGAACATAAAAGGTAGAAGATCCAATTTATTTTGGCATCTATAACATATATTGTAAAATAAATATGTGTTGAAGTTTCGACTCTCCAATTTGGTTGTTCTCTCCTCTTTTTATAATTGTCACCGCTCCTTCATTTATGGTACCAATTGAACTCACTTCCTCTAAGGTAAGTGTTTTCGCGTAGCCATTGCTAAGCAACGTCAGAGATTCTCCTGACGCAGACCTTGTCAACTTGTCTAATAAGCTTATGACGATAAAAGGCTACGAGTGGCGAGGGAAAAATTTGCCCGTTTCAACAATTTTTACCCATATCGATGAGGTGAACACTAAGTTTTGATTCCTCGTCCCTTGCGTGACTGTTGACTGAGTAATTTACAAAACACGATCGCAGAAAGCAAATACCAAATACTAACCCACAGCGTCCTTTATGGAAGTAAATATAGTCTTTCTCTGTCGTTCGCTCAATGAATGTTAAGCAAGTAGTGTTTTCCCAATGACGCATGGCTTGTAAGATAACCGCTCTCTGATCTCCTGTGGGAAGGGAAATACATGGACTTTCATGATTTTATTGATAAGACAGTAGATCGCATGATCAAATTAGAGATATGGTTCTAAACAGTACAGCCTCTTAACCCTGTAACTCCCAAAAGTGTTTGGCATGTAATTTCTCCCTATAATATCCGCACATTATCCAGCAAACAGGTATTGAGAAAACTCCAACTTATCACGTGGAAATTGTTATCTTGATCTAACACTAAATTCTCATAACTGATTTACAAGAAAATGTGTAGCATCTAGAGGGAGGAATTGACAATCAGATCTTGGGAGTTAAAGGGTTAAATTGAGGTAGGTAGTCGAACCTTTCCACAACCAAAAAGGTCACCTTTGGGAAAGGGCAGAGTACGCAGAGAACCACAGTAGGGAGGTGGCCATTTTGGGAGGTGGGTTGTAATATTTCTCGAAGGGCAGAAGGTGAGGAATCTCACTCAGACTTTACCTATGCCAAAACAAGAGTTTTCTAGGGAAGATGCTGGAAAACTGCAGAAATCTAGGCATATAAGGAACTAAAACGTGCCTCTTCGTTCTTACCCGAACAACAGAGACGATCGGGTATTATGTCGGAAAAATCTGGAATGATGAAAACAGTTTACTTTGCGATCACCCGGCGGGATTCAGCTGCCTGCAATATACACTAGTCAAGAGAAAGTACGTTTCAATTTATGTCTAGACATCAATCAAGCTTTTATCCGGTTTAATTACAGAAGTATCAGAAAACTGGCGGACTTATAGCGATATTCAATATACCACATGGTGTTTCAACTACCCAAATTACGTCAAGAATTTCCAGAAAAATGTCACGATGACGTACTAAGTTGACTACTGCATTGTGCAATAGTGATTGAAAGCTTTTCCTTCACTTTTCCTTTACTTTTCCTTGACAGCCACAAATGTTCCTATTGAAAAATTCCTAAGTTTTCGTGAAGCATTCCGAGCTACAATTTTTTTATTTTCACTCCCCCCTTGGAAAGCTTTGTTTATGTATGTTTGTTTGTTTGTTTTTAGGCACAACGCGTGATCGGATTATTTAGCAAATCATGATGCAAAGACCTTGAACTTGAGACCTTGTACTTAGAGTTTGAGACTTATTATTAAAGGCTTAGTTTAAATCTTAATGTATCCATTCATTCGTTACACTTATGTTGACGGAATTTGGACACCAGCTTTTTCACCGCAAATATTTTGTCTTACAATTTTGTCTATAAAAGCTCCGTATTTGCTTCACTCCCTGTCAATCGATGACAAATGATCATTAACTTAATATCACTAATTTAATTGTAGGAAATACTTCGCATAGCTATTTATAGATAACGTCCCTGGTTTTTTAATAATAAATTATCGGATCAGTATCATCGTGCCTGAGAGGTGGCCTCTCCGAGATACGACGTGCTAATCTACTTACTATATGAAAAAGGCAAAAACAAGTATCCTTTTTTGTTGTTGCAAATTTCAACACCAAGATGAAATATCTGCCCGTCTCGCATCTACCACGCAGTATATGCGTGAAATACGCATTTAAAGACCTTAGAAAGAACCTACAGCTTGGTAACACAACGAGCACTCCATCAAAGAACCTGTCTATAAAAAGTTTCAAATTTCAACTTCATTTTGATTTCAAGATAAATTTTATAAATAAACTTTAGAAGAATTTCCGACACAAATGAATCTTCTAGAACGATAAAGCTAATCCTTTTGAGATCAATTTAGCTCAGAAAGCCATACACGCTCGGTCAGATATCATCAGAGCATTAACAGTTTCAAATCGGAAATGGCTACATAAATGTAAACCTTGGCGCAACGAATTAGTTTTCTTATTCGCTTTAAAAGAACATAAGAACACGGCCATATGAGCCTGTACTGAGAAGTACCCAAGTCGGTGCAGCCCATGTAGCTTGTGAAACACTCTTTTCCGTTTCCTTTTATCCAAGCGAGAAAGCATGAACTATGCGAAAGTCACGCAGAGGCATGGAGCGAAAGTAAGCTAAAAATTAAGTGCGGTGGAAGGGGCCAGGAATTAGGGAGAAAAATCTTCTGCTGTCAATGCAATTATTCCCTTTCGTTTCTTTCCTGCGCGCGACTCCCGCACAATAATCCCTATGCCCTCTTGGATAATCTCTTGGGAACGGAAAGACTCTTACACAAGCTACAACTTGCATCAACAGCGAATAAATCATCTAAAATTTTTGATTTTTCAAACCATTTCTTGTGTAGTTCAATGTCCAGTGTCATTTTTAAAAGTTTATTGAACATAACTTGAGAATATAATTTTTGAATTTTGAGAGGGCGAAAAGCTAGTTAACGATTATTAAAAGCTTAGCTCCGCTTTTTAAGTATAATGTGGAACGAGTACGGAATTTGAAAACTGTGGATCAAATGTGTGCGATGATTGCAAGATCACTGGATTACTTGGAAGCCCGTGTTTAAGATATTACAAATTAATTGTTTAGAAGATTGTGAACTAATCCGATTAAACCAGTTGTTTAACTCACTCCCAAACGAGAAGAATGACCAAGATTTCCACCTATACTGAAGTAACTGCCTATGGAGTTATCATAACCGAACCAATTTGCAAAATCTGGGTTTCACTGAAAGCGATATGATCCATATCCATCTTTTCCCTCGGCTACTCATTCCATGGACTGCTACTTCTTTTCAGGAGTCTCTAATGAACATTATTTTGATGTCAGATGTCATTCTGGTAGGCCTATGAAGCTTTCATCGCCAAAACAATTTGCTAAAAACTATGCTTCAATGAAAAAAGTTTATATCCTTTTGTACCCTGGTGTATCCTTTCCCATCGAATTTTACTCCTCTACGCGAGTGGCCAGTGGACACTATTTTGATGTCAGATGTAATATAAGCTAGCCTATGCACTTATCATCCCCAAAACAATTTGTAAAATCTTTGCCTCATTGCGAAGTCTGTATACTTCTTTCTCCTCGTTCACCCCTTCCCATGTATGCATTATCATTCTTCTGCATAATTTTGTGAGTTTTATTGTTTAATTCCTGGCCAAGAATAAGTTTCTGAAGAATCTAAGTAATAGTTTGCGTCGTTTCAATAAATGCTGCCACCAAACTGCCAATCTGCCGCCAGGAAATTGCTGTCAGCGTTAAGTTACATTCTGTTGACCTGACCTTTTGATATTTCCGAAAAACAAAAGGAGAGATCTTACAACGGCTACGAATTCCTCTCGGAGGAACAATTCCTCGATTATCGCAGACGAAAATATTCATTGAATATGAAGCAAATGGATTTGATATTAACTAAAGAGAGCTGAAGAAATTCTTTAACCCTTTAACTCCCATGAGTGACAAAAACAGAATTTCTCCTCACAATATCAATACAAAATCAATAAGACTAGATGAGAACCAAGAAAAGTATCAATCAGGGGATTATTAGTACATCCAATACCAAATTCTCAAAAGCTTCATCAGAAGAACTGTATAGAAGACAGTAAGGAGAATCACTAATGAGATCTTGGGAGTCTAGGGCCCAGCTGAGATGCTGCAAATGCAGCAGTAGGAGTAACGTTCCACCCTCGAAAACGTCCAAGACAAACCTTATTCCCGTAATTACTTCCTAAGCCGATAATGAACCACTCGCTTACATTTTAAACGGATAAAAAAATTAGCGCCGCCTCACAGATAATCAGATCACAATGTTGCCGGTTAGACTGTCACAAGATTGTTTTGGGTTTGCGCATACGAATTCCTAAAATACGACCTTGTAAATTATTCTAGGATCGATTTCATTTCGTGACACGATAATGAATGTTTCCCTATGAATTATGTTTTTAAAACTTAAGCTCACATATTTTGTAGGAGCTTATGCTCATAAAATCGCCGATCAACCGTAGAGCTCAAAGCGAACCTGACGAGAGTGTGTTTCACCATGCCTCGTGAGGAACTCCCCTTCCGACGTCTCCTTCACATTATAGAATTTACGAAGGCAAATCAGAATTAGGTCCCGCGCAGCGCTAGGAAATAGATGTGAAAGCTACAAAATGGAACCTTTGATAAAAAGAACGAAAGGAAGACCGCTGTTCCATCCAGTAGAAAAGCGGATAGGTTTACGGAGAACACTATCAGAAGTCACAAGCACACCACACTATGTTTTCGTAGTGAATAATTGTTGACATGAGACGAACAAAATCCAAGAGAGTTATGAATAAAGCCTTAAAACAAATTTCATATCTAAATTACATCTTGGGCTGAATATGCCAATAAAGTTACATAAAATGTTAATGGACTCATTCGTAGTATTTTTCCGCCTTCATAGAACGTTTGAAGACGCTCTAAATGGCTCATGAAGGCGAATAAATGATACAAATGAGGGGATTAACTTTTCATTTTCATTAAAATACTTTAGTTCCATTGTCGGCAAAACGTGGTGTAGTGGGGGTAGCGTGGCTCAATTCCTACTGTGATAATCTTACTAGCGTCGCTGAAACGTCAGTGACATAAGTAACCTACGCCTTGGGTATTCAATACAATCAATGGGAAAAGGCCACTTTGGGGTATTCGGCATTAACAGTTTTCATTGGGTCGTTGTTCCCTTTTTTACTCGAAGATTTTTATGACTGGCCCACTTAGAAAGACATCCACGATCCTTTGGTTAGTGAACCCAATACACTGAAGGTATAGGACTCCAAATCAATATCAGAGACCCAGTTTTAACTTTGCAACAAGGACCGAAAATTGTCAATAAACGATTGTTTCATTGGTTTGTCGTAATTTATAAAAATAATTATGCAATAGTTGTGTTAAACTAACTGATAGGAAATTAAATGTTTATGTTTGCAAATGATAAAAAGTGACAAATTGATGGATTACGATAAAGAATTTTAACTGAATACTCTTTCTTCTAATGCTTTAAGCACTGAAAGACGATCCGCGCAAAACGCTTTCGAGAATGATCCTAATGACATCATTCATGAGTGAGGAAAGCTTAACGATAGGCATCCGCAAAATAAGTTAAACAAAAGGTTTTTACAGTAATTACAAATAAACTTCTTAAAGCCAGAGTCATCGGTAAAAAGGCAATACCTAAACGATATTTGCTTTTTAGTGAATCCTCCAAGAGAGCGCATTTTTTTGCCCAAGACTCCCTTGAAGTTAAGTGAAAATACACCCTGTTGGTGAAGGATTATTTTCCGATAACAGAAGGTCTATTTTCATGCATAAGGTCACTCAATGTGCAACACAAAAGTGAAACAATGAATTTGAACTTGAACTGGTGCCCCACATTTAGGGGATCGAACGAATTATGATGCAGATTCGATCCGATTTTCTTACCTGTGTAAACACCGTCTGCTATCTCAAAAGGAATTACACCTTCTCGCCAAAGCCTCTTGTTGAATGCAGTCGCAGCCCTTTTCCTTCTGCTTTGACGCAAGTCCGCCTTAGAAACTGCAATATCACCCTGTACGATACCATCTGCAGGCATCAAATTAGGTATTAAGGCTTGTGTTAACTGAAGCGATAAAATCTGATGCAAATGATTGATGCATTTAGACAAAGGGAACCAGAGAGGGCTGAAGTGCAGTAAGCATCAGGACTTCGTTCAAGTAGTTTTCCCAAAGAGGGAAAGAATTAAAAAATCTCGTCATTGTTCAGGGGGACCGTGAAAGAAAAGGGTTGAAAACAGCAGCCGGTTTAATCCGAAAAATTGCGGGAATGGCTTTGTTTAGTTACGACTATTAATCTGACAACTGAACTGATAGGAGCGATCAAGAGCGCACGCTGATACTCGTGTTTCTCACACGAGGAAAGATGGCTCGTTTGACAAAGAAAAGAAACGCAAGAAAAGGGAATTGACGACGAAACGTAGATAAAAAAATCTTACCAGCCTTGCAAGGGTCGTAATCCTCGTCATCAGCTTGAACTACGGCGCCCTCAAAGGCCAGGAAAAACATCAGAAAAAGCAAACCAACGGACAGCATCGTTGTGTTTGGTCAACCGTCGGTTCGTCTAACGCTTGAACCAAAACAAACTAAGCCAAGAGGCAAATAATCCCAAATATCTTAAAGTATTTTAGCGGTGCGTCAGGAGTGGTGGGTTTTTTAGTTCGCTTTCAGTGGCACAAAGACCGCAGTCTCTCAACGGTGCCTCTCTCTCAACACCTTTACAAAAATACCTTACGTGGATTGTGCGAAATGTCAACCGATGATTTATAATTGTTCGTGTGGCTGAGCAATCAACTGTCGATCGTCAGGATCTCAAGGCCTTAAGTTCCATCAAATGCTGAACTTTGTTGGACAAATTTGTGAAAGGTTTAGGCCCGAGAAACAGACCGTGAAACCATTGTCAACGGTTTAAGCGTGAGAGCTGATTAGTTTCTCGATTGGCACTAGCGCTCATAATTAAATGTCAAATGACGGATATTTAACACCTACTTTTCGTGATTTATGTCAGCCAATAAAACCTTTGTACGTAACACTTTCTTTGGACTTCTGCCGAGCTGTCCTCTTCTATCCTTTCCGCCCAGAATGTTAGCGTTTCTCCAGTCACAAGATTGCCTAACTTACATTAAAAGGAAATTTTGTTTCAGTTTAAGGGAAATAGCGACATTTGCGAGAGCCTTAATGAAATGATGCAACAGCAGGACGGCTGTCGGCACCCAGTTGAGAACACATATCGCAAATAAGCCAGATTATTTTTAAGCACCGGATATTATTTGAGGACTTCCCTTTATTTGTTTTTGCCGTTTGAAAACGATCACGCCTCAAGTTGCACCATTCCACCGGTGTTTATTCAGCAACGAAAAATGTTAATCGCTTTGACTTGGGATCTGGCACCCCCCAATAAGCTGTACGGCTAGCAGAAGCTCATTGTACACCATGCGATCGGCAGAAAATTATAAATCATTTTTTATTTGGCGCAACTTTTGTATGAAAGCAGGAAATCACTTTTTGATATGGAACGTGTGATTTTGCCCCGCCATGTCCGGCCTCCTCTGATATATCCAAAATAACTCCGGCGGCAACTTCCTCGATTTTTCACCTAAAACGTATGTCTCGGTCTCAGAAGTACAGACAAAAAAAAAGTTCATAATAGACGTGTTCGATCCACTTTGCAATGATTGACAGCTCAGCATTTATTTTGATACCTGCGTAGATGTGCGTATTGAGTGGCAGGGGCACGAAAATGAGCCGTGAAGCCAACCGTGTTCGCTCGTTTACGCGGCTCCGCTGCCGTTATTTAAGTGCCAAAGAAACCGCTGGCAGAGAACGCCCTAAGCCTTCTTAGGAATAATGAATGGGGAGAAGGAGACAAGAGACAGAAGACCTTTGCTTTTTCCTGTTTTTGAATAAGTACGCTCCCAAAAACCTATTAATGTTTTCCTTCCCGTCGTTATCTACAAAATAATCTTCGCGGAACACCGCTGCTTTGCGCTCTGCTCTCATTCTTTTTCCTGTACTTTTTTTTTGTTTTGTTTGACCTGTTTTTTATTATAATTTTCGGATCCCAAGAACAAGCGAGGGGATAAACGTAGAATCAAAAGAAAATAATGGATGACATAAGAATAAAATGCTAAGTGTTCATCAAAAATATACCGTGCATTTTAACCTTAAGTATCGGTGAACCTGTCAAGTTCATTTGATGCCTGCCTGTTAAGCCCATCAGCGGATCTGTAGAATACTGTAGATCCCATCTCAGCATAGAATTTTCACTGATTCTTACTTTTCCGCTGTATGTCCTGTATAAAACATAAATAACATTTTGTAGGGGATTAAAAGGTCAATATGTAACTATAGAATTTGTCTCCGTGTTTCTGGAATATTCCATCACGTTGATCGTATCCAAGTAACCATGGCTACTCGTTTTGCGTCATTTAGCGGAAGTCGCTGATTCGCTTTATTGTTCGGAGAACAAATGAAGTCGCTACTTAAAAACGGAGTAAAGTTAGGGAATATCAGTTCACTGTAATATTTGTCTTATATCATGTTTTCATATATAGAAAAAGATCAATTGGAAAAATAAATTTGAAAGCACATTCTGAATGAATAATTACCTGAAGATTCATTAATACCGAAAAAGACCTGATAACTGTGGTTACACCGATAAGACGTCATTTCAGCGGAAATTCTGCTGAATCCGGCGTCTTCAACATTTTTATTACAAACAAACAGAAACCTTTAGAAAAAAACAAAACAAAACAAGTGTACCATTACACCTCCACAGTCTTTGTTACCACTTTGCTACGACTTGGATCTTGACGTCTAAAACTTGCCTGTTGACGGGTTCCGTTAAACGGGAAGTCCAGAGATTTCGTTCAATGCTGACGTGTACATCGTGCAGACCCCAACACATCATTTTCCTTTAAAAGAAACTATTGATTTCAGTATCTTTTTGATATTATGACCGATTGTTCCATTTCATCGTTCAACCGGCAACATGCATGTAAGCTTTTGTCTTCCAAACATTTGCAATGATACAGAACCGCGCACGTACACGACTGTGTGATGTCTACTCCTGTTTAGAGTCGAGATCTGAAAGGAAGACTATGATCTATTTTTACAGGACAAATATGTGAATGTATCAGATTATCATAATGACGGTTCATCACTTTACTTGTGCGCGAACATGTTCTTTCAGTCGCATGTTTTATTATTCAAAGTCGGTACATTTGAATTCTGCCGGTTCGAGGTTTGTGCAGCAAAGCTTATTCTGTTTATATGAGACAAAATAGAGATGACTTTTTGAAAATTAGTCTTTTATATTTTCTCGCTGTTAGGCTATGAATGCGCATGCACAAAACTCAGAACAAGGATGGAATCCACGCTCGCACGCGCTCCCGCCTAGCGCGGCGCGACTTTGAGAAATGAACCGTCATTGAGATGTTTAAATATTGTTAGCGCTTTAACGGACTATGATAAATTCAATCAACAACGTAAAAAATGAAATGAGAATCCAATCTAATCGAAGAAAAACATAAAAGTTCCTACCAGTGTAAGTGGAAGGCAGTTGATGCGCAGAATTTCACGTTGCAGTTGATTTCATTTTTTGCTTTTATTTTCAGTTTAAATTTTTCTTAGCGAAGCCATCATAACTTAATCATAATCATTACTAGCTACCATCGACAAGAGAACTTCCAAATTAAAAGTGGTGGAGAAATTTTACTGAAGATTTCTCCCTGAGTTTAGGTTCATTTTCAAAGTTAGGCAAGATTAGAAGTCCTTCTAAACTGCGCATGCGAGCATGCGTCTTAATAAAAGACATGATAACTACCTGTTGTGATCAGGTTTCGGGGAACTCTTCATTAAATATTCGTCTTCAGTGTGTTTTGATAATCTGTTGGATCTTTAGCTATATTTTCTAAAGGTGAGTGAACTCCAAATTATTTCATATTACATGTAAGCCTAGAGGATCTTGGTTCAAATTCATCGAGCCATGTACTGTTTGTTTCTAGAGGTCCAACAATGGTTTCCTCTTCGCTTATGTAACGCTTTCAAACAGCCCCTCCTACTGTGGGGTTGTATCTGTGACAAACGTCGCTGTCCTCTTGACACAGGAGAAAGGTTTCGATTAAAATCTCTTAGGTTCGTCAAATGCAACATTCGGATATGAATTTAAAGGAGTAACAAGAGATCTTTTATTTCACAAATTTCGAATCCATGTATGTCTTCTGAAAGTACTCGAGGATCAATTAGTTTCATCTTCAAACAAAAATTTGATGAGTCTGTAAATGCAGAAGTCACGGAGTTTCTTGCAACTTTGGCATTAGGATTTGTTTAGATCGACCCGGCTAAATGCACGATGTATTTTGAGACCCGCGGGCTTTGTGCAATACAAACTGAGACGTGTTTTCTAACATATACGACTAGTATCTTTATTCAAACGATCTCCATTGTGTAAAGAGCAGGTACCAATTGTTTGGGTTTGCCGGTACCACGACTAGAAAAACCAGAGGTGACAAAGAGCAGATTTGTATTCTATTAGTCAACGCCATAATAGAAAATAAATGAAATTTTTTTAAAATCAAAGGCTCCTCTCTGAACCTTGTTCAAGAGATCAGGGCAAAAAGACCACTGACAAAATTCTTAGTGGAAGATGTATGTTATGAAGGGACCTTACAATAACCGCTGACCGCATTCAAATCCATTGTATTGTCTTTTTTCAGTAACACAGTTTTATTACTCGTAGGGAAACCTGAAAAAATACCTTTTGGGAGAGGGGAGGAGGGCGGATAAAAATTCTAAGGAAAATGTGGTGCTGCGTTGTTGGGTGGTATTACAAGATAATTGAATTTATCAACTGCGTTGATAGCGTAAACTGGCCACCGTAAAGAGTGTCTGAAGCCGATGTTTTTAGCAGTAGTCCTTCGTCTGAGCGAAAGACGAAGAGCTAACCCTCGAAAAGTCAGGTTTAGACGCTCTCTACAGTGGCCAATTTACAATAACATCTCAGTCAGTTGATGAAACCAAACTATGTATGCTTAATGTGGTCTAGCAGAAAAAACGGTGAGAAACCAAGAGATATGGGGTCGATTTTGCAATTGACTGTGGCTTGCTCCAAAAACGTTCCGTCTGAAGTGCGTCGTGGTGGCACAAAAATGATGGCAATAGTGCCCTAGAACAGCGCTTCATTAACAACGACGTGAACGGTACTTTATATGATAATTAATCGCAAACGTACTAAGATTCAGTAAGTGAAAATGAGGAGTTTGTTTGACAGGTCTTTTTTAAGTACAACGACACCATTTACTTTTCAGTCATGTGGGTTCTGTTCCTCGCTGTGTTTGGAGTGTTCTTGACACAGGCCTCAGCCTTATCTGATCCTCTTCCGTCAGCTTTAAGTAAGTGATAAACTTCCGATTGAGTTTCTGTTGCCTTAAATTATTTGCTATGAGATGAATGAGGGAGGGGTGAGGGGAATGGAGGAGGGGTGAGGGGAGGGGGAAAGTATGTCATAATTACCAGCTGAGGGGGAGTGTAGGACTCGTGAGAGTAGTTTCCAATTTACTTTCGGACTGCTTCGGTTCTGCTTCACTTCGCCATGTGATTGGATCTTGAAACTCACGTCATCCTCTCAACCAATCAGATTCAAAACTAAAACCAATCGCGACTTGGTCACCCACGTTTCCCGCGCATTGAACAGTTTGTTTGTTTGTTTCTTTGCGTCCGCGTTGGCTTTTTATATAAATCTCCTGTACTTACATTGGCTGTTCGAAATTCTTTGGTTTTGGTTTAACAGTACCCAATTGAATTGTTCCTTTTCTTGCATGCATGCATTTGATCGTCAAAATATAGATCGTCGAAAGTACCTTTTAAAGTTCTTTAAGGTTCTAATGAGTATCCTAATTGCGCATATTCTCCTTCATTAATGGACCCAGGCACATACGAACGCAGCTTTTTCTCGTATTTGGGTTTCGCAATAATTTCCTTCCTATGAAATAAATAAAAGCGATGTCCAGAGCAAAGCAAGAGATAATTTCTCGAAACTTAAATTCAGCGGGAGTAGTCCGTTAAGGCTTTCTTAGGATTTATTTATAGGCATGGAAACCCACTACCATACTGCAATTCTTCCTGTAGAGCAACTCAGACAAAAGGTTTCGTGTAGGTCTTTGTAGGTACTGAATCTTCGTCTATACTGTAATTAACGAAGGATTTGTAAGAGGTTGTTCAAACAGTAACAACAGTGTAAAGGTGTTTTGGTTAAAATCCATCGCCTATTCTTTGATTTCTGGAACAGTTGAGCCATTCTCTACATCAATTCGATGTCCTCCAAGCAAACAATTCCACTGGACACGATCAGACACCAGCGGCTTAGACATTGTGTTCTACTACACTTGCGGTCAAGGTAATATTTATCAATATTGTTAACTGGGGATTCGAATATAGCGGAGACTTAATGATTGGTGCGCTGGAATGACGCGCAGATGGCTCCGGATTTGATCTTTTGGTGATTGATATTTTTGGGTTAGTGATAAAACACACTTATCCCACGCAGTACATCTCTCTATTCAGGAGAATTTGTGAGAACCAGAAAAAAAAAACTGTCAGAGAATGCTGCAAAGGACCAGCAAATCGTCGGCTAGGTGAAGTAATAATAGTCTTGGTCCTTTCATGACACGAAAATTGAGTAACGTCTGACAGATTTGCAGTAGAATAGATGGCATTTTATGTTTAATAAGATTATTTTTCCAAATACTTAGGAAGAGAAATCCTCCCCTGCTGAGGATGCACATGTCTTTTAGGAAAGTGTTTTTGGTCTTGAGTGGAGAATATCTCAAGGTAATTTTCACACGAAATGCTATTGGACGACGCTATTTTTTTCTCAACAGATCAAGAAATGTCCCAAACCTTGCATTGCACTAATGGCTATAAGGCTCAATACAGGAAAGACCTCATCCCAGACGCCATGAAAAAAGCCGCCATCCCAATGGCCATGAAAAAAGGTTTCATCACCGGACTAGACCAGGAACCTTCTTTTGGGCTTTTTGCTACGGGGCCCGATTTTAACACTAAAAATGGAGCCGTGGTGGTCTTCGCATGCCTTAACCCAAAGTAAGAATTAAGTTAAAAGATTCCCACGTGGGCGTAATTCAAGAAGTTTTGATCATTTGTCAAAATTATATTTTGTTGTTTCAGAACTACGAAGTAACCACATTTCATGCAATGATAGCTATGAAGTAACTAAACGTTAAAACCTTCTCTTCTCTGTTTTAGCAAATAAACCGTGCTGTCGTGCGAGACATCTACTGAGCATGCTTGGTTATGGTTAACAATTCAAGTGATCGAAAAGTCACATGTTACAGTCTCCGACATAGAAATGTTCTCCATTATTTTCTTAGCAGATATTCTACAAATAAGTATAAATAAACATTCTTGTATCATCCTCGGATCGAACTCAAGACCCCGGTTGTATAGGTGAGCATGTTTACTGCTCGTGCTTTATGAATAAAAGGAATCAAATCAGGTGAAGATTGGTAATTAAGATCGCCAACAACCTGAACAATACCTACGCATTCTGTTTTATTTTAATTTGTTCAAACCAGACGGCGATTGGGGTGGATGGGGGGGGGGGGGGGGGGGGGGGGGGGGGGGGGGGGGGGGGGTTGACTGAGGGAAGCGAGATCAAGAGTCGTTTGCCAGGTCTAGCTCTGATTTGTTCAGTTTGCAGTTCTTACTTATTACCACCCAGAAGAATTGAGACAGTATCAGTGAAATATTGCGAAATGATGTCAAATAGGTTGGGGATTACCTCACGATGGACCATAAATGGTTGAACAGAGCAATCATAAAAATTCGACTCCCCCCCTGTTATACCTATTTTCATTTGCAAGAGAAAACTATTCAACTTAACTTTGAGTTCTATGCTTTCTTCCGCGCTGTAAAGACACGATATAATCGCTTTTGCTAATATCACTTTTAAATGTAAGATTATTGAACGTTTTTTGACATAATGCGTTTTGGTTCAGAGGTATTTGACAGTATGTCAGCCAGTATTTAGCTTTATAAGTGGAGAGACAGGGTATTGCCATGCAACATACTGTCTTGGCTTTCGAAAAAAGTACATATGGCTTAGGTACGTGGTTTTGAACATTAACGTTTTAGACCACGTCTCTTGCATCGAAATGGGAACTTCCAATGGAACTGCAGGCCAGCAATCTTTAACCTTTTGCTCTCCAAAGGAGTAAACGACATCTACAAGTATAGTCAAACCCTTTTTATCGGTTATTTACTGTTTATTTGCTGGTACCAGTTGAGATTGGCCAAGCTAATCGAAAGTGTCATTTATAGTGAAAGTTTGTAGTTTTCAACGATACGTTCAGATTAAGTTAAAGATTAGTCTCTTAGCACATACAGCGTTGATGAGATTAGTGAACATTCCGAACTTTTAAATCAAGTTCATGGACTTAAAATTGTAAAAATATCCGAAATTCAACAAGGCACTTCTGAACGTCACCTTTTACGACAGAGACGTTAGCAGCCATCCTTGTCTTAATCCAGGAAAGCTAAAGGCGAAACGAAAGTGAAGCAAAGTGATTTTAATTGTAAGAAAAACGATACCTCTTTTAAATGGAAGTTAAGTAAAACGTAAATTTCCCTTCCACCTATAAAGTTCAGTGTCACTTTTCCGTTTAATCCCCGTGCTCCGAATGGGCAGCGTCCGATCCGTGAATTACAAAACACGATTACGTGAGATTCTGTTGAACTGGTACATAATTGATAACTTGTCGAGTTGATACGACGGATCGGAAAGGTCATCTTGGGGTATCAGGGAAGTTACTGAAATATCACAAAGCCCCAGAATCGATCACACAAATGGGGCGCGATATTTCGAAAAGGAAACGGAGCGCTGAGGGATCCCAAATGAAAGACAGTGTGTCCCATTGGGGCTGTGGGGCACGGTTTATGGGTATCCTCGGTGTTTTGACAGTCATTTTAGTGGTGGCCGTTGTTCATGTGGCAACAAGTGACGAGCACAAAACGTATTTTGATGAACTTGTAAGTACTGGAGGCGCCATACGTTCAGCGCGCAGTGTAAACTCTGTATCCAACGAGGAATCAGTGGAAATTTGCCGTAGTAAAGAATGCAAAAAAGTAGCCAAGTATATAAACGCGTCCATGGATTACTCCAAAGATCCCTGTGTAGATTTCTTTGATTATGTTTGTGGAGGCTGGATCAAAGCAAATCCTATTCCCCGCAGCTCGTCCACCTATTCCACGTTTGCCAAACTGAATGGTCGCGTTGAACGCAATATAAGACATATCTTGGAAAAGGGCATCACATCTGCGAGCAAAAAATTATTCCAATTGCCGAAGCATTTCTTCGAGTCGTGCATGGATTTGAAAACTATTGACAGCTTGGGGGATAAGCCAATTCGTGATCTGATAAACAACATCGGCTCTTGGAGCATCGATGTCAAGTCAAGATGGAATGAAAAGGATTGGGATTTGGAAAAAACTTTGTTATTTATTCACAAAAGCTACACATCCGCCGGCGGGCCCTTGTTTTCTGTTCATATTAGTGATGATCCTATAAACAACACCAGGCACATAATTGAGGTGAGGGCCATTCAATGGGAAACCTGGTGTGAATACTAAAAATGTAATGGTACTTTTTAAACTCTACATGAGTCTTTCATCCCTCCATTGACAGATTTCACTTTCTCTTCACGAACTGGGAAATCATTAACCAATCAAGAAAAGTGATTTTAAACTTTTAAGATTCATTAGAAAGACTTCATTGATTGTCAAGAGAATTCACCCTCTTATTTACACGAAAATTCCCTACAGGCAGTATTGATTTCATTTTTACTCTTAAACAAGCGGTAATAATTCGAAACCCAGATAGACATACAGCGAACGGGTGGGCAGATTGATAACGAAACACATGTTGGTAGATTTTATGAGTTTTTAAAATTTTGTAATGGAAAATCAACAGTTATGACATTGTTCTAAAAGTCTGTCATGTTTACCGACATAATTCTATTGTGACAAACGTTTAAGAGGCTGTTCTTGACCTGCTGAGCTACACCAGGTTACTTGGCACTTGGCTTGGTTTACCTGCTGTAGATAAATGCAACTTGGCAGCCTCCAAACGTTCGCGCTACTTAAAACAAAATGACATTTCAACCAAATCATCGACCAGAGCTTGACCGTAAAAGGCCTTTTTCACAAGACTGGCGGCAGCATATTATCAACACATTTAGGACTTTTCAAATTTACGACACTATGCGAGCGGAAAATTTGAATGTTCGACAGGGTAGATGTAAAAATCAAAATATCCCTCCAGTTGGGACTGTTGTAGATTTTTTTTTACAACGCAGATAAATACCTTGAGGGGATTGCCTGTATTTGACCAAATTGTACCGCGTTTAACGTCAAATAACGTCAAAAAATTAGTGAGGTTGTCTATATATTTAGCCCATGCACATTTTCTTGAGCGCATCGAAGTAAAATTGAGTTGCAACTAAACACTACCGTAATTATCGATGATTTCTGCAGCAGTTAATCCCGATCCTTGCTCGCTTAGGCATGTGCAAAATAATCTTTACATTTTGACCCGGGTGAAATATTAGACCAGATTTTATACAATAACGTGGAATGTCATTTCAACACCTTATCAACGCAAAAAAGGAAATTAAAAAAATCTCACCAACGGATTCCAGCGAGGAATAAAAGGTGTAATTGCAAAAATTTACTCAAGAGTCTAGACTAATTGATCTTTAGTATTGCACTTATTTTTGTTGTCAACAATCGAAAGCGATCCTTTCCTGTTCCCTTTTGAACAGGCATTGAATGAAGTCTGTTTCTCGGCATCCTCTTTAGGAAAATGGACATCCATCTTTTATCTCAGGCAATACTTTATTTTCCACATACTTAATTTTACTTTTGAAATGTTTCCAAGGACTTTTCATCATTATTTTGTATAGATCTCTATCTTTTCATGCACTGAGCTACAACATATTTACTTATGTACCACCAGATAGATCAGGCCGGACCCAGTCTCTCTAGAGAGGTGTACTTCGACAGTCCAAAGGTAACAACATTGGACATTACCAGGAAAGATGTGCGAAATGACAGGGAACTACAGAGGAAACGGGCATTTTACCATCTAGCGACGTTTTCCTTACGGGAGAGTTAACTAGACCGATTGAATGTTTTGGAGGAGCAGAGAGAAAACGCTAAAATTTGATCATACAAGTTATATTAGGGTTTGATCGAGGGATGTAGACTATGATGTATTGTGCCTGCAAATTGCATGTCAGAGAACCATTATGATAATAAATTGCTTGGGTGAGTGGGGGTAGG